AAGGCGTAGCGCAGGTTAAGAATTAAGAAGCGGTAGGAATTCTGTTGCCAAACCAATAGTTTCGAAACATTATAGTTAGCGTAACCTAATTAGATTGCAACGACATTTCATCATTCTGTATAAAGTGCCACAAGGAATTAATGCGTGTTGGAACAGTTGCTTTGAGGCAGAAGTCGGGCGATATTGCGGTAATGCCACTGATCTTCGTACAGAAAAACCTTTCCAGAACACCATCCACTTCAACAGACAAAGTTAACTTTTGTGAGATGAATCGTTTGGCCACCTGTGCAAGATCGACATTTTAAAACCTATAATTTTGGAGATGTATAGTATTCGATTCTGGCGATACATGTGAAGCGTAGCAAGCATTAAACCATGTATTAATTATATCTAACAGCTTGGTCAATATGAGATGAGGAGCTAGAGCAAATGATTACGTTTTGTATAGTCAGCATTAGGAGTTAAGCAAATTTAACTTGTACAAATTATTTATACTGCCGAAGAAACACACTTCTTTAACAGCATTTTAATTATACGCCATATTTTTGAATCTCTGCAAAATTAAGAATATCACTTTTGCATAACTATTACAGGATTGTGCGTTGAAAGGCTTCGTTATCTAATAGGAATTAAAGCGTCTCTGACGAAGTAGCATTATCAAAGGATATGTATCACAGCGAAAGACTTTCAGCTTTTGATAGATGACTAAGTTCGATTCAAAGCACTCAGCTGTTCGAAGTGCTAACCGATGCGATCACACTGTTTTGTGTGCATTCTGGTGGCATGTATGCTAGCTTATCAACAGCACATCCGAGGTTCAAGTTCGCAATGTGACCGCTTTTACGCCTCTTGCAACTAACCAAATGAAAGGACAATGTTGTTCCAGTTTAAGAGCGGTGTTGCGTGTTCGATGAACGATTCCCATCGTTTATCACACAGCCGTACATATCATCGAGGGTAGAACTTTGATCTAAACTACTGATTCCATCAGTACTGTTGTATTTGAACAATTGGTAATGCTACATCTGTTTAGGACTTAGGACTTAATTCGGGTGCTTGAAAAATATCCCAGTTACCATTCTTATGCACGAGTATATACCGCCCGGCCGGTAAATTTGGACCGAAAGCCTTATGACGCCAACCGAATTCAACATGACGCTCATCTCTACGAAGGACAACGAATTTACAATAGTTGTCAGGCCATCCAATCAAAGTCGTGTTTAACCGCAAGGTGCACAAGTCTTTACCCCAGGCAAAAATTTTACATCAATGTGTGGGCTTTGATAACTGGTAGGCCATAGGTCAACCATGTGTAGTACGCAAGCTGGGCACTTGCTTGTGGACAGACAGGCCAAAATCGCTGTTAGGACATCGGTTAGATTTGCCAGATAAGCTAAGATACACAGTATGTTTCCTTTGTTAAATGGATCACTGTTTCAACCATGGAACGCTTCTGTAAATGTTATGCAACCTGAGTCACATCAATGCTATGATGGTCTGCGCGTGCATATTCTTCAATTATATGGGGATTTCGGCCTTAGTGTATCTGAAACAGCGCGGCGATACAACAGCATAAGCTCGGAAATGTGGTCTGTAAACTTCCATACTTGTTAAAACTGGTGAAGAAGTTCGAAAAGACAGGTAATGTGTGCAACGCCCGAAATACGGAGCGGCCTAGTACCACAACGCATGAGAGTTCAGCTAGCGCTGTTATCCTCGGAATGACCGAAAGGGTTGATCTTAGCGTCCGTGCAATCACTCAAAATTGTGACAACAACTGTTAGGCAGTTTACCGGATTTTAAAATAAAGGAAATTTCGTCGGTTTGGAACAAGTCAATTGCAAGTGTTAAACCCATGCGATCCGGAGAACTGGCTTGTGTTTTACATCTGGTTCTTGAATCACGTGGATATTCACTCCACTTTTCACCGGTGAGATAATATTCCATTTGCACGGAATGCAAAAGCAGCACTTTTGGGCGATATCAAATCCACGACACTGTCGAGATGCTCGGATGCAACATAATACTAAGCTAATGATTTGGGCTGGAGTAACTGGTCAAAAGATTGTCGGACCATTTTCATTTTCCTGTAATATGACCGGTAGGTTAGTGTTTTAATATACTAATGTCCTGCCATTCCTAGCATCGTCGTACAAAGAAATGCTGCAAACCTGCGTACTGCCACAACTGCAGATTGAGCGGACTTCCAGCAATTTTACTGGCAACTTGATAGCAAACCTGTCAATTATTCACAAGCGGTGCGGCATAATCTTAACAAGATATTCGGTCACATGTGAATCGGTCGCGGAGGTCTAATGGAGTAGTCGGTCCGGCCACCGGATTTGAACCCCTTAGATTTCTTCCTATGGGGTTATTTAAAACGAAGAGGTTATAAGAAAACGTCTAGTTCACTGGAGCAACTGTAAGGCAGTGTTGCCCACGAATGTCGCGCCATCAAGATGGAAACTTTGCCAAAAGTTCTATCAAATAGCCTCAGGCGATTTCTGCACTGCAAGCTGAACGCCGGCGGGCACTTTGGTTACCTTCTTCGTTGACGGATATGACATGGTTATATGCTGTTTATGTTAATATGCGTATTCATCGTTATCACTGATTTCTGGACTGCATTGATGCACGGGCGGTCGACACTTGATGTTGTGCTAACCAATGAAGAACTCATGGTTGACGGAATAGTTACTAGCACACTACTGGTATAATTAAAACGTGAGGTATTTACGACTACCACTATTTCTACTGCAACTAGCGTACTAATTTTGACGTTTGACATCCCCATTTTCTCTCTTTTACATTTGGTTTACCCTAGTGGATCAATAATAGCTTTGTGCGGGTTGTGAAAGTTAGCTTGATTTACGAAACATTGCGGCTTTGCCAAGCATATTAGACACAACCTTGACCCTGGTGTTCGTTAATAATGTGAAGTGTTTCTCTGAGTGCAACTGGGTTCCGATTGGAAGTTCCGATCAAGATTTCGCTTGTAGTGCGTGGCTAGAAGAGATACAAAAAATACTAACACCATGTATAAGTTTGCGCAATCCCCCATGTGTTCCATGTTTGATGTAGCCGATTTCTCACCATATCCAAGGCAGATGGGTATTTGCAGTTACTGTTACATGAACAAAAGATCTATTGAAAATCGGAGGACCATCCAAGATAAATCAGAGATGGAAAATAAGCAAACAAAAGCGGTTTCATGATGAGAGCTTGCATTAACGCTTCTCTCGTTCACTTTGCACTTTAGTCCAACACATAGGTCTTGACTGGTTCCTTCAGACAACATTGGGTATTAAAAACACCAGCACACAGGGTCAGACGCCATACACTGTGACATAATCTCTATCTTACTCTGCAAAGCGAGAAGAGTTAAACTTCCTACATATTATTACAACCATTGGCACAGTGCAAAATGGGCATCAACCTCCTGGTCTCAGTCTCCAAAGTTAAGCTTGACTTCATTTTTATAGCGCCCTTTTTCGCACACTGCTACAGTCAGGAAATCACTCTCAGCAAATCTATGACTTAGCCAAAACCTTCGAATCTTTCCTGTCCATCAGTATTTTTGTTTTGTAACGAAGTACTTGCC